AAAAAGTCTGATTTAAAAAGCGCTTTTCTAATAGTTTTAAAAATTAAGATTTCACGCACCTACTTAGATTAACACACACAGTTTTTATTTGAATGATATCGAAATAGTAAAAGCATCGATAGAATCAGAATTTTATGTACTTTGTTCTTATCAAACACTTAGTTTTCAAGAACTTTGGCGAACTTCCGAAGGAATTCCGGAAGTGTCCTTTAGATGTAGCAAAATGTTAAATATACTTTTTTAGACGTTATGTCTATAAAAGCATAGACAAAAGGAACACTTGTATATATATAAGTGGTAATGTGGGACTCAACGGTAAGAAAAGCCAGTACTAACTACTTCAGCGGGTAGATAGGTTTGGGTTTTAACCCGATGGAACATCACTTACGCACTGAACTACGACGTCTCAACGGCAGGCCGAACGAGGCAGACCACAATAACCATGGGTTCCCACCCACTCACACTCCCACTGTCCACTCTGTTAGTCTAACTAGTCTTTCACCACGATGAAGTATCAAGCACTTCTCGCTGGAACTAAATTATAAGATTCACAAAAGGCATTACGGGTACGTCAATAACTTATTTTATAACTAAGAATGTTTTTGAATTGACGTAACTATTGCCACCAAAATACACACAATATGGCAAATTTTATTGTAAATCTATACATAAATAAATGTTTTCTGAAGTATTGAGTAAAAAAATCAACATTTACGACGTTTCTGCCGAGTTTTCTCCGGAAGTGAGGAAAAGCTTACGCAAAGGCTTTTGACAAGATTAAACTCCACTATCCTGTTATTATGTTGAAAGTAAATGTTCATGTCATTGAAGAAATGGAAGTTCCGTAACTTTTTTGTTTGTTCCGGTCTTTCTATCAAGACACTACAAAAATAAAACACTTGACGCTAATTCTATAAGTATTGGCGAGATGAGTTATTTCTGGACATCACTTGTAAATATTATTCCCCTTAAAATATATAATAACAAAATATCTTTTTAAATAAAACTATCTTTTCGGATATTTTCGCGGACTTATTATGATCATGGTACTTGGTTCCGTGACCATGACTGCTGTAAAGCATTCGATATGTCTGGAACCAAAAATCTGAAAAGTTAGTTTTATTTAAAATGTCAAATATTTGCATAAATCTAAGAAAGTAAAATATTTTTTTATTTATTTCATGTTTCTAATATTATTATAGGACAGTCGTAGCCCGGGGGTACCGCGCTCAATTTGAAAATTAAGTGATAATATTATAAGGTTCAAATCCCGGGTCTCTCACCTCACATATAAATGTAGTATTCAACCGAAATTCACAGATTTGATATTAGATCAAAGTAAAAAATTTTGTATGGAACATCCTACTACATACAACTTATTTATTATAGTAATATGTCAAAAATTAATCAATATTCACAGTTCAAAACGCATTAACACTAAACTATAGGCATTATTCCTAAAATTCATTTTTGATCAAGACAGACAATTGTCAGAGATCCGAGATAAAGAATCAAACCCACAGATATAGAGTCTAAATCTGTAATCGAACCCATGATCCACTACTCTTTCTCTATCACCCAATAAGCAGGGGTTTTAAAGCAGATAATACAAAAAAAATAGTAGAAAATATAAAAAATGACATATCCTTGCACCTTGTCATGCCCTCAGAATATGTTATTTCGCTTCGCTCGGGTACTTCCTAAGCTTGAATGGAACACATAAAAGACAAATGGTTTAGAAAGACGAACATACGAACATTCAGTTTTATTTATATGTAGATAGTTTAACTGTAGCAATAGTATTTAATTTAAGAAACTATATTGAATACTATTTTTGCATGGCACAAAAGAAGGAATTAAAGTATAAATTAAATATTTACATATATTATCCTAGCGCTGCAACAGACTTTTTCGAAGTCGGTGCCAGCTGATACAAAGCAAAGCACACCGACTTCTAAAATATTTGATTAGGTATGTATAGTAAATGAAAACTACCAATCAGTTATTTTTTACTTATTAGTGTTTTTTTGAAGTCGGTTTTTTTTTAAAGTTTTTATTTTTTACTCCCTTTTTCTATATTGTTTTTTATAAACTGTTTATCTGTAAAAACACTTTATAAATTTTAATACTCATATAACTATTTCCTGCTAGCAGAACTTACAAACATTTACTTTCTAAGCGTTTGAACTTTGCAAAAGCATTCATCAAAAATGGGAAATGGTTGCGGAAATTCAGTCGTTTTTCAATTTCATTCAATTCTGAATGCCAGATGTGAAGATGTGATTTACATTCACTAAACTACTGCAATACTCGCGGGTACTTGACAATAAGTATTGTACAGATGCAAGATATGCATTTTTCAAGCAAACTTAAGAAATTTCTTTGAATTGTTATATTTTTCCTTAATAATGTTAGGATTACTAATTTATATACCGAATTTATACTCTGTGTTTATAAAATGTATTTTCTGAATGTCAGTTGACACTTGTCAATATTTTAAAAAGTAGGTCAACCCTACTTTTCGTTATGAACTTTGTTAGAATATTTAGTTTAGTCTTGCTTCATATTTGGTGGAAAGCAGTACAATATATACATTAATTACGAGAATAACGACGTTTTATTGGCCATCCCGTCATCTCAGAAGTGGGATGTACGGTGTTAATTCTACAACACATATCGGCTAACGACATTTTACATCGATATGAATATGAGTACATCAAAAAGTCCTCATCATAGTGAAACTGTAAGGCGTGAAAGTGGTACACCTACATTACCGAGGGACAAGCAAACGAACGACGTGACTCGATTACAATGTGAAGATGCTCGTGGAATTCATAGAAGTCAGGCGCGGCATCCACGACGACGTGAACGTAGTAGCAGTTCAAGCAGTTCAAGTTGTCGGAGTAATACGCGGGCTGACATGCGTAAACGACGAATTTCTGGAAGCCGTTCCAAGAGGCGAAAAGCAAGAAGACGTCGACACAGCAGCAGTGGCAGCCGAAGTTCAGCAGCCTCGCGGATTCGATCTCGAAGACGACGACAGAATACTGAAGTGGATAGTCAACAGGACCAGAGAAAGAGGGTACGTACTTCTGTTGATAATAGTTTGTATGATACTCATTTACTCATTCGGGAAATGTTACAAACAATGAACAATAGTCTTCCAGTCCTAGGCAATGTTATACCCGAATTCGACCCAATGTCGAAAGATCAAACAGTGCATATGTGGATTAGTAAAGTAGAGGAGTGTTCACAGATATATGGTTGGTCGGATAGGCAAATTATTCATTATGCTTTGCCAAAATTAGCTGGGTTAGCCAAGTCATGGTACGAGGGATTTCCTAGTAGAGATGACTATGCAGAATTGCTTACAGAAATGTTATCAGTAAAAGCTTTCCATAAACGTGCGGTAGATTGTTTGTTATATGGGTTAGATGATAGGTCAATCAGGTTAGGTGCAAAGGCTGCTAGTTTTACTGAACCTGAACAAGTATTAAAATATTTTAAATCTATTAAGCAACAGTTACGGGATACAGATAGAAGTAAAATTTCATTTGAAAAGAGAAACAATCAAAACACTATAAATAATAACATTAGCTCTAATAATAATAACAAACCAATACGTTCTCAAAATGATAACGCACAGATTATCTGTTACAATTGTAATGAACCTGGTCACTATAGCTATAGATGCACAAAACGTATTTTGCGATGTACAATATGTAATAGAATAGGTCACTTGGCGGCAACATGTCCGAAGTTACCGTCAACAAGTAATGAAAAAAACGGATAAAACTGTATTGAAAGTAAATAATGATTCAGATACAAATCAGAAATTTATTTTGGATGTAGAAATTAATGGTGTAACTATGCAAGGTTATATAGATTTAGGTAGTCAATGTACTTTGTTACGCCTTAACGTTGCACTAAAACTAAACTTAAAATGGAAAGAAAGTAACTTACCTAATTTGAGAGGATTAGGCAATAACTTAGTTCTACCAATAGGATCAACTATAGTAAAAATTAAAATTCAAAATATTATTGAAACCGTAGAGGTTTTTATTGTTGCAGATCATGTAATTAGTTATCCCATATTAGTAGGCCACTCATTTACCGAAAAACCGGGAATCACTATTACTAAAACACCCTTTGGCTTGATTTTTAAGCGATATCCTAATCAAAAGCTTTGTTTATTTTCGAACGATAAAGTCACGATACCTGCGAAAACCGTAGGAATAGTTAAAGTCACTTCAGATACTAATTATACAGGTTCTTTTTATGTTAATGGTACTATACGAGGAAAGCCTAAATATAATTTTTATTTAATGCCAGGCGAATACAATTTTGAAAATCAACAAAGTTCTATTTTAGTTTTAAATCTCTCTGACAATGAATTAAATATTAATAACAATATTTTAATTAATAGAGCTAAAATAATTGATAATGAAAAGACAGTTAATATTTTAAGTTCAGAAGATTTAAATAAACTAAATGTAGGTAACATTTTAAGTAATGAACAAATAGATAACTTGAAAAAATTACTTTACGAATTTAACACTTGTTTCTCGTCTGGTCTTAAAGACTTAGGATATACAGATATTGTTAAAATGGAAATAGAATTAACTGATTCTAAGCCTGTCGTTTATCGCCCGTATAGGTTACCATATGCAGATAGAGAACTAGTTAGGGTAATGGTCCAAGATATGTTAGATGCTGGAGTGATAAAAGAATCAAAATCCTCATACGCTAGTCCTATTGTTCTAGTAAAAAAGAAAACGGGAGATAAGAGATTGTGTATCGATTATCGTGCCTTAAATAATAAAACTAAAAAAGAACACTATCCATTACCTCTCATAGATGATCAGCTAGATTTATTATCAGGTAATAGTTTATTTATTTCTCTAGATTTATTTTCGGGTTACTATCAAATAGCTATTTCGGAAGGCTCTCAGAATAAGACAGCATTTGTCACTCCGGATGGACAGTATGAATTCACAAGAATGCCATTCGGATTGGCAAATGCTCCGTCTATATTTCAAAGGACAATGAATAAAATACTCGCAGAAGCTAAAATAAAATATGCTTTAATTTATATGGATGATGTTTTAATTCCAGCTAAGTCTTATTCTGAAGGAATAAGTAGGTTGCGTGAGGTTCTAAGTTTACTACAGAAGGGGGGGCTTACCTTAAAATTAAGCAAATGCCATTTCTTTTATGATAAAATTGATTTCTTAGGGTTTGAAGTTAGTGCGAACGGTATAAGACCGGGTTATCAAAAACATTAGCTATTTCAGAATTTCCAAAACCAAAAAATATACATGATATTAGACGATTTATCGGTTTGACAAGTTTTTTTAGAAGGTTTATAAAAAATTTCGCGATTATTGCTAGGCCGTTAACTGACTTACTTAAGAAAAATTTTTCATGGAATTGGACAGATCAACAAGAAAATTCATTTATTACATTAAAAAGTAAATTAGTGGAAAGACCTATATTGGCACTCTATGATCAAAAGCTTGAAACTGAATTGCATACAGATGCGTCTAAAATAGGTATAGCTGGAATCTTATTGCAAAAAGGGGCTGATAATTTGTTACGACCCGTTGCTTATTATAGTCGAAAAAATACTAGTGAAGAGCAAAGGATGCATTCATTCGAACAAGAGACACTTGCGGTAATATCTTCATTAAACAGGTTTAGAGTATATTTATTAGGCATAAAATTTAAAATTGTAACAGACTGTAGTGCCTTGCGTACAACTTTTACAAAACGTGATCTTACTCCACGTATAGCGAGGTGGTGGATTCAATTTCAAGAGTTTGATTGTGAAATTGAATATCGACCAGGGAATAAAATGGGCCATGTCGATGCGCTTAGTAGGGGTCCTGTTAATGATTCTAATCCGGATACTGACTTACAAATATTAGACGTATTAAATTTCACCACTGAAGATTGGATAGCTACTATACAGAATAATGATGAGGAAATTAAGAGAATAAAGGAAATACTGGAATCAAAAAATACTAAAGATACCGTTGATATATATAATAATTATCAGTTGAAAGGGGGTAAGGTTTACAGAAACATAGATGGAGGTATTAGATGGGTTGTACCAAGGGGTGTTCGATGGCAAATTCTACGCATGAATCACGATGATATCGGTCACTTCGGATTCGAAAAAACTCTTGAACGCGTAAGATCTACATATTGGTTTCCTAAAATGAGAAAATTTATTAAGAAATATTGTAATTCATGCCTAGAATGTGCATATCATAAAGTTCCGGGAGGTAAGAAAGAAGGAATGTTATTTCCTATACCTAAGAAAGATATACCGTTCCATACAATACACGCTGATCATCTCGGTCCCTTCGTTCGTAGTCGAAGAGGAAACACCTTTATTCTAGTTATTATAGACGCATTTACTAAATATGTCAATTTAACGGCTGTAAAGAATACAAAAACGTCAAGTACAATCAATGTATTTAAAAATCATTTTAGTTACTTTGGAAATCCACAAAGACTTATAACAGATAGAGGTTCCTGTTTCACTAGCAATCAATTTAAATCTTTTGTTCAAGGCCGTGGTATAAAACACATCCTAAATTCAGTAGCAACCCCAAGGGCAAATGGTCAAGTTGAGCGGTTTAACAGGACCATTTCTGATGCGCTCAGTACAAAGTGTCATGGACTCAAAGATAACTTGTGGGATGAATGCTTGCAAGATATTCAGCTTGGGTTAAATACAACAATTCATAAAACTACACAAAAGAGTCCATCAGAACTATTGTTTGGGCATAAAATAATAGGTAGTGCAGAAAACATAATAAACGAAATATTTGATGATACAGAAGATCGATTAACTGAAAATGAACTTGTAGGTATTAGGAAAGACGCTAGTGATCGAATGAGAGATAATGAAATGGCGATGAAAAATAAATATGATAAAAATCGTAAAGCAGGTCATTCATACAAAATAGGTGATTTGGTTAGGATAGAACGTAATTACAATGAAAAGGATAGTGCAGGTAAACCAAAGAAATTATTACCAAAGTTGCAAGGACCATATAGAATTTGTAAAGTGTTACCTAACGATAGATATTTAATCGAAGACACACCATTAACTCGTAAAAATAATAAGCGATATGAAAATGTAGTTGCGTTAGATAAGATTCATCCATGGGTCAGTTTTCAAAGAGATATTTGTAGTTCACAAAGTGATGATGATAATAATGATTCAGAGTAATGAGTAACATACTAATTGTTTCAACAGTAAGTAATTTATGATTTGAAATGAGAAAATAGTCAGTGCTGAGACACAGATGATTACAGTAGCAGACTACAGCGTGGGCAACTTTGTTAGTGCTAAAGATTAGCATAGATAACTAAGTCGCAGACTGCGCAGATGTAGGCTACAGATGTATCAGTGTCATGATTAATTTTGCACAGATGACAGAGGGCAGACTGCGGCGGTGTAAGCTGAGCGGTGAGTGTTATTTAGCATGGATATCCCCAGCAGATTATACCGTTCGTAGGCCCGTGATACGGTCAGTGCAGAGAAAGAGATAGCACAGATGACTATAGAAATCTGATACCTGATAGAGGAATTTGAAATTTAATAATTAGTTAGGTGATATTAATTTTAATTATTATATTATAGTAATTAATGTATTTGGTCACATAGATGATTTGTATTTTTTTTGTGTATTGCTATTTATTAATGTTAAATTAATTAATATTAACTTAAAATGAATTTGTTAAGATTTATAAGATTATTCCTTTGATTTACATTTATGTTGTTGTTTAATTAGCTAATCGAGCACTTAAATATGTACATTTATGAAAAAAATCTCTTTTGTTTTGTAGTTTTCATTGTTTTGCGAGAGGACTCGCCTTTGCTCAGGAAGGCCGAGCTGTTAGGATTACTAATTTATATACCGAATTTATACTCTGTGTTTATAAAATGTATTTTCTGAATGTCAGTTGACACTTGTCAATATTTTAAAAAGTAGGTCAACCCTACTTTTCGTTATGAACTTTGTTAGAATATTTAGTTTAGTCTTGCTTCATATTTGGTGGAAAGCAGTACAATATATACATTAATTACGAGAATAACGACGTTTTATTGGCCATCCCGTCAATAAATATATGCATGCATCGCAGATGAAAATTGGTTTCCTCCTCCTTGAGGTCAGTATGTGGAAATTATGTTGAAAATGCTATTATATATGCATGACAATATCAGATGTGCCACATCCAGGGTATGGATTCGCGTCACTGTAAATTCAAAGCCAGAATCCTTTCAATACAGAGATATCAATATAGAGTAACAACTGTATATTAAACATTTGTGGAATATTTGTTTTTGAGAAACGTGTAACATTAATATAATATTTTTATTTGTCTATCCATCCTTAATCCAATACAGCTGCGTGTGCCAACAAAGGTGTATTGTCTTATAATCCAACTGAACCACAATTCGACACGACCGGAAATCAAAAGCAATAGTTAACTAAAACAGATGGCAAACCGCGTTTTCATGTAGTGTTTCAATTAAAACTTCTGAACTAAAAGATGGTCGAAACAATTTTAATAAGGTATAACCAATATTGATGGCGAAGTTTCTTATTTAAGAGTACCTAGAACTCGGCTTGTTCATTTCCAGGTTAGTAAAGAAAGTTTTCCACAGCGCTGTAGAGTTCCTAGGTTTTTTATCCATTGCAGGTATATGAATACGTGAATCTACTTCGCAGTTTGATATTTCAATGTGAGCTGATTTCTTCAAGTTTATAACCGACTTAAGCAAAAGAGAAGTTTCTAAGCCTGAAATATGAAGCATGCTTAACACATCCTAAGACAGTTGTTAACGTATAACAATTAACGACAAGTACTTTATATAAACATATTTTATGCGTTTAATTTTTATATAAAGCTATTATGTTGGAAAGTTTTTAATATGTGTATACTAGCGACTCACCCTCGCTTCGCTCGGGTTCGTCCGTAGCTTGGATCCCCATACAAATTTTCACCCCATTTTCACCCTCTTAAGGGATGATTTCCGGGATAAAAAATATCCTTTGTCCTTCCCAGGGTCTCAAACTATCTAATTACCAAATTTAGTTCAAAGGGTTTAGCAGCGTTATAGTTAAACGCTCCCAGGCGGCTTATATTTTTCCGACACCTCCAACAAATATCATAATATTTTAGCCAATGTATACAAAAACTTAACAAATTATATATTACATCTTTCTCGAGAACCACTCTATCCATTGGTGAAATCAGCATGAAAATCGGTGTAGTAATTTTTGAGTTTATCGCAAACATACAGACGGAGGACTTTGTTTTATAATATGTAGTGATAATTATTTTAACGTATTTTTCTCCAGCGCCATCATCACATTTAATATGAATGAAGGGCATCGTGGTTTACGTCAACATTTATTAACATAGAGCTGAACTTTCACATGACCTTTGGTTATTTTAGGGTTGTACTGCCCTTGGCGTGACCTTGAAACCCTATCATCAAAGTTATAACCATCAAAATCATTATTTTAGATTCTTACAAATTGTATGTATTCATATTCCCTTTTTAACGTCCCACTGCTGGGCACGGGCCTCCCTTCAGTACGAGAGGAATCAGGCCATAGTCCACCACGCTGGCCAAGTGCGGGTTGGCAGACTTCACATGTCTTTCGAGAACTTGCTAGGTTCTCTTAGACATGCAGGTTTCCTCACGATGTATTCCTTCACCGTTTAGGCAAGTAATAATCATGTTGGAAATGATTCGCACATGAAAATATCAGAGGTGCGAGACCCGGGATTTGAACCCGCTTCACTCGGTTACCCAAGCGAGCGCGTCACCACTGGACTACCACTGCCTTTTCATTGTTTTTCATTCATGTTTGTCATTTGTTGTTTTATCAAGTTACTGCTTTAGTAATATTATACAAAGATTATAATTTGTTTTGTTTGTTTGTTTTTTTTTTGAACTCACAAATCGTTGGTACTATTTAGTCCTATAGAAAAAGTTATTTATATTTTATAATCAACTAGTTTTTGCCCGCGGCTTCGCTCGCATTGTAAGTGGGGCGGGGATCAAAAGTAGCTTATGTATACTACGTATATAATTTTTGTCTTTGCTAAATTTTATCGAAATCTGCTCGGTGGTTTAAACGAGAAAATGTAACAGATTTACCTTCACATTTACAATATTAAAATGGATTTAATAAGTAAGGCATCGTGATATTGATGTCTGTCAGGCTAGAACTTTTAGAGCAGAGAAATAATACATAAATGCGAATACTAGTATTCTATACATATAATAAAATTGTGACTAAGTTGAATATGTACATTAAATATTTTTTGGGAAATCTAATTGAAATAGACATTATTATCGATACAGAGTCCGAATCTATAGTTTTTAGAATTTTTGTCTGTCTGTCTGTCTGTTACCACATCACGAGAAAACCGCTTGACAGATTTTGATGAAATTTGGTATGATGATAGCTGGTTATCCGGGTCAACATATAGGATACTTTTTACCGCGGTAAAATATCTCATTTTTGAGAAAAAATACAAAAACTGCAATGTAAGAGTATACTAATATGTAAAACCTAAGAATTTGGTTTTTGGTCATCTGAACGCGGGCGGAACCGCGGGCAATCCTAGTTATATTATAAATGTAAACCTAAATGTATTCAAATTTTCATTCAAAATAATAGGATATTAAGGATTTTCAACGTACATTCTCATGACTTGAACTCGATGTAAATATCTTCATAACTCCGCTCCTTCTGTCGTTGATATGAAATACTCTCAAATAGAAGATTAATTATTTTCCATGCAACGCTTACATCAAATATAAATTAATTAATATGATTTAAGTCTTTTAAGCTATCATGGTCACTGATAATATGATTATTATGTAAAATGGGGTATTTACCATGTTTTCCTTTTACTTTAATGAGTGCTCCATATTTTAGCACAGTTAAAAGCGCCATGGTCACAGATAAACTAATGTTTTTACGGCTGTATGTTAAAATTCCTTAGAATTATTGTATTTATATATATTTGACGACACGTTTGGCTCAATTTGTAGAGATCCTAGTTGGTGTGCCAGCGGTTGTGGGTTCGAGTCCCGCTGGAAGTATTCTTTTGTGTGATGAGAACAAATGTTTGTACTCCAGTCATAGGTGTTCATATTTATCTGGTGTTCATAACACAAGCCCCGTAGCTTACCATGTAACTAGATGGTGCTGTGTGTCTATGACCCAACATATTTATTTATACAGGTAGCGCTATCTTGTGTCAAATATTATTACTAAAAATAGTCCACGTGTTACTCCAAATCTATTCACATACAAAATTTCATTCAAGTCCGTCAAATCATATTAGCGTGAAGAAACTACAAACATATAACTACCCGTACAAATTTTCATATTTATTGTTATAGTAGGATAACAATAACGTTTTACTTTACTTTTTTGTTGTGTGTTATTTTACTTACGTAAAGCAGCAAGTAGCTAGCGTATTAAGTATCATTAAAATATTTTCTAGAACAAATAGAGTGCAAAGATATTAAATTAATAACTGTTAAGAATATTTTACAAAACATCAAGTGCTGAGATAACATGGCCGTCACTTCTGGCGCGGGTCAAGAACGCTTTTATTTCTAGATCTCGCGCAGATTTATATATAACCTACGTATAACACAGTTCACTACAATGATGTACTAGTCTTTGCTTAATTTTAATGATAGAGGTATTATAAGTTTTAACAAAACTATGTATATAACTGTCTATGGTATCATAGCTCCCAAACCAATACTAAATTAATAGTAAAAAATTAGTTCCCAGATGAATCATAAAAGTATGCATTGATCATACATTTCTTTCATTTCAATTCAATTTGTATTATCAACTTTTTGATACTAGAAAGTTTTATCGTTCGTGTAAAAACATCTAGTACTGTATATATGAAGACATCTAAAACGGTTTTACGGCTGTTAGCAATCCAAGCTATTCACAACGCTGCTCTCTGAAGGCTCCAAGGTTATGTAATATAAGCCATCTACCAACAAATTTTTAATCTATGTACACCGCTAGTTTTACATATATTTCGACACGTTTGGCTCACTTTGTAATGACCCTACTTGGGCAGAGAGCTTTGCGCCAAAATGTGTAATTCGGTCAAGACGAGCCTTCTTTAATGTCTTTTTGTGGGACTTGGCGGCTAAGTTAAAGGCTCTCTTCTTGGATCTTACATCCGGAGCTTTGCGGTCTCGAGCATCAACCCAGGCAAGGTAAGCCGATTGCTTACGCTTTTCAGCAAAGGTGCATTCGGCATTAAACTATGGGCGAGCTTTGCCACCAACGGGTACATCAGAGAACGGGATAAAATATTCCATCGCTTGATGCACCACATCAGTTATAGCATCCGCACAGCTCGACGGATTGGAAGAAGAGAAGCAGACCTGCCGCCAAGGAAAAGATGCAAAAAAATGTCGCATCTCATCCTAATCTGCTGACTTGTATTGCCATACTCGTCTAACGCCAGTAGAATCGTTATCTGGTGGAGAGTAAGACGATACAGTTTTTACCAGAAAAATCTTTTTTTTTTTTTATTTTTTTTTTTTTACATTTTCTAGGAAGATACTCGTAGATACTTCTATTTTAATAAAAAAATATTATTAATGTACTTTATTTTTTACTTTTTTATTTAAGGTTTTTTTTAAACTATTTAACAATTTGTTATCTTAAATTAATATTAAACATTAAGTTGGATATAGCTTTGGGGTCACCTCTTAAAAACCATCATACTCATACAACACTCGATAGATATAAAAGATTAATTATTATTTATCTATATAATATTCATATTTTTTATTATTGTATTATATAGATATAAAAGAAAAAAAATCGGTATGAATAGATTATAATGAGATAAGGTAGCATACATACATATTCACATACAAGTAACCCTTGGGTATCGTCGCACCTAAAATAGGTCGGTAACATACATTCCCATTATGACACAGCCTAAATATGCCCTTAGCTTGTTGTTCAACGAAAAACCTTGACACCTACTTGTTTTTGTAGGCTTCTTTGATTGAGAAGATCTTAAAATCGCTTCCACAGAGTGCCCGTGGCCTTAATAAAAAGTTGAACTGGAAATTGCTCTAGGCTTTACATATTTTTATGATTTTATATCATAATTAATAATTATTATTATTAGGTAATAGATACTAGTTCTTGCCCAAGATTCCGCTCGCATAAGGCAATGTGCTGCTTTGTGGGGCTATATAGTGGGAGGTGAGACACCGTTTGCCTAAGAATCGATATTGAGACTGTTGGGTGATAAGGCAGACTTCCGCTGGTCTCATCCAATAGCCTAGCTTAGAATATCCAAATTCCATTCCATACACCTTTTTAGTTTATATATATATATTTTTCTATGGGTTATTCAGAGACATGGATCCTGACTGATGCGTCACATTAAACAAACTT